AATAAGAGTGTGGAGATTGCACATTTTAATTTTATTTGTCAAGTTTTAAAATTAATAGGTATACTTTAAATTTGGAAATTTTTTATCCACACCCACTATAGTAAGGTTTAAATTCAATGATGTCCTGTCACAATTTTAAAACTTCGCTGCACCCATTTTCTAATTTATACTATTGAATCATGGACGTCCCCTAATAGTAACTTCTGACGATAAATAAAGTGCATTATTTGACTATCTATTTTTTAAAAATGTCAAAATTATCCTGTGTCATGTTAATAGACTAAAATGCCATGGGTTGGCACTTTATAAAGTTTAATTTTTTATTTTTTTGATAAGTAGGATAATATATTTATATCTAACGAAATTATTTTTTACACAAAATAAAATCATTCAACATAATAAGGTCAAAAATGCATACAAACAAAACGAAATAAAAAAAATTAATTTTAATATTTTACAAAAAAATAAGGTTAATTATAGTTATTTTCAATTGATCTCAATAAATTTTTATCATTTTAAAGCGTTATATGATAATTTTGTTAAAAACACCACCGAGAATATATATATTATCACGTATTTGATTACATAATCGAGTTTTTATAATTTTTATTGTTAAAAATACTTTCTCTACAATAAAAATTATAATCGATAAAGTCAATGTCAAAGTCCATCCATTTTCAACTTCTCTACTATTGTCTGTCCTCAACAATATTACCCAACCATTCTTTACACATCACGCTTTAGATATTGAAATTTAGTATTAATTAAATAAATTTGGTCTTAATTTGATAAATTTAAATATTAATTTAGTGTTAATTTGATAAAATTAAATATTAATTTCGTGTTAATTAAAAAAATTTAATGTTTATTGAATAAATTTGAATGTTGTTTTGATGAATTTGATATTAAATTAGAGAAAAGACATTAATTTGATGTGGTGAAATGTAAAATTAATAGAGTTTAATATTCTATTTAATATAATTAAATTTTTAATTTTATAAAATCGAATGTTAATTTGGTGTTGATTTGATGAAATTAAGTAATAATTTAGTGTTAAATTAAAACAATTAATATTAATTTGATTAAATTAAATATCAATTTTGTATTGATTTGATGAGATCGAATGTTAATTTAATTTAAATTAAAAAAGGACATTAATTTAAAAAATTAAATATTAAATTGATGAACATGAAGGTTAATGTGTGGATAAAATTTACTCTATAAAATACTAAGAGATATTTCTATAAAACAATGCTCGTCGTTAACGCCATAAGTAGACAATACTAACCGCGCGGGGGGGAGGGTTGTCAATAAAATCTTAAAAGTGAGAGTAAATATCATTGAATTTAGACTTAAATAAAAGGGGATTGAATGGAATTTTTTTCTTTTAATTTTCAAGTTAGTGCTTTGGATTGTATTGAATCTGAAGTCGGGCCTAGCCAGGGGGGTATGGGATCGAGGTGGGTTCCACTCAAATTATGTGTTGCTGGAAAATTGGGCCAATGAGGATAGCAGACTATAGGCTTTTCCATCGTTGTTAATAGGAGAAATTGGAAGGAATACTTCAAATTAGATTTAATTGTTAAAAAAATATACAGAAAAAATATTAGATAATTAAGTTCTTAATTTTGATATTATTGTATCAAAGTACATTATTTGAATTATACTAATTTTTTTGTGATATTTTTGTCCTCAATTGATTCATGTGTATTTTTTTTGGAAAGTGATATATTAAACATCTCCTAGTTTTATGGAAGAACTTTAATATTTTATATTTGTATGTCCTCTTTTGATTTATGTGTATTTTTTTTTTTGAAAGTGATTTTGTTTTCAAATTATATTTAATGTACCTTGATTCATGCGTATTTTTTTTTGAAAAGTGATTTTGTTTTCAAATTATATTAATATCCGAACAATATAACAATAACAGTGTATCAATGTAATAAACCATTTACACAAAATATTGTACTATTATATTTTGTCAAACATATATTTTTATATAATTTCATTCAAAACAGTCCATCTCCGTTTTGAATTAGTTACCACATGTACAAAACTACTGAACACTATTTTTGTTACAGTGTATTGTTATACTATCTTTGTTACAGTGTATTTGTTACACTATTATGAATTTTGGATATTAATAAATTTTAAAATTCAAACAAGTGATATTCTAAAATAAACGAAATATTAAAATTTTCCTATAAAACTAGTAGTAGTAAATATTTAATGCATAAATATAATTTGAAAATAAAATTACTTTAAAAAAAAATACGCATGAATCAAGGTGCATTAGAGATAAGAGATTTTAAATTAAATGACTCTAAATTTTAGCACTTAATAAATACCTTGTTAAAGCTTTTAGAAAAGAATTTTTACAAAATTGGTATTTACGTTTTTCTATCTTAGTTGTATACTTTTTTTCAAAATATTTTGTTCTATATACTTCCAAAGGACCCTTGTTAATAATGTTGCTTGATTGATGTCATTTATGCTTTGTTTTGTATGATGAAAAAATAGAATGATGAAAAGTTGGAAGGATAGAAAGTTAGAGGGATAAACAACATATTTGGTAAGGAAGTAAAATAGGAAGGATGAAAAAAATGGATAAATGTCATTTCCTTTTAATTCACCAAAATCAGTCACTTCAAAATCGGAAGGAAAGTGGATGAAAAATTAATTATTTGTGTTGAAAGATATCTTATTTGTCTATATATCTTTTGGTATATACATATATTATGTATATACTAATTTCATATATAAATACAATGATAATATATATATATATATACTAGTCATAATCCGTGTCTGAAGGCACGATAAAATATAAAATTCGAGCATCCAAAATCGAACCTACTATATTAAATTTTTTTAAAATATATTAACTAAAAATTAATTAATTATTAAATTATTAGATATATAATAGAAATGAGTGGTGTAATATTTTTAGGTAGGAAATATATAAATGATTAAATATGTGATAAAAATGAGTGATGTGATTTGACGTTTGAGTCTGACAAATAGATGATGAGTGAGATAAGTGATTGGTGATAGTTTTGAGAGAAAAAATATGACTGAGATAAAATTTAAACACATTTCTATTTTATTATATATATATAGACGAAAATTTTCGATTCAACACGATGACGAGACTAAAACTCGACACGAATTTTATGATACGAATTTGATTTTAACTCAACATGAACTTGAAAATAACCTGACACAAGAACACAAAATATAAACAACTCATATTCAGTTCAACCCGTTAAACCCAAAATTGACATCATCAACCCGTTTATTTAAGAATAAACATTTTCTCTATTTTCTTGTTTGTATGATAACACGAAATTAACATGTTTAAGTAATATTATAGACATAAAATATTAATTATTTATAACTATTTATTAAGCACTGACATAATTATTATATAAAAAATATATTTTTACTTATTATTATTATTATATTTATTTAAGTTAATTTTTAGTTTGTAAAAAAAGTATGGGCATGAATTGAATTAAGTAAAAATAAAATATTAACATTAATTTTTTTATTCAAAATTTATATAGATCAATACGAACAGGAATACGATACGAATAAATTGTGTGTATCTTTTAATTGTTGACTGTGTTTTTCTCATAGTATAACAAAAATAGTGTAACAATACATTATAACAAAGATAATTGTTACAATAACAAATTCAAAATATTCGAAATTAGGCACTGTTGAATGGTCCCGGTTCATGACGCGTGTCAGTGGGTGTTTCAAAACTCAGCATCAAATAAAAAGTGCCATGTGGCACCTTTCCCTCACGATGAGTGTGCATGCGAGAGGGTGGGCGCAGAAAGAAAGCCACTAAAATCTACACTTAGAGCCCCTCAAAGAAGAGGAACATGTATTTTATGGAAAATTTTATTTCTAATCTTTATCAACTAGTTTTATTTGACTCAATAAAATTCAAGATTAATAAGACTTATACGTAGCAAAGTTTGTATTAGAAATAAGAGGACTCAACTTCTCTCTTTTCATTAATAACAACAAATAATTTTACATAATAAAAATAACACATACCTGCACCACTAAAAAAACCTTCTCCCCCCCAAAAAAAAAAAAAAGAATACCACAATTTAAACTCCACACAACTATAAAAAAATAAAATAAAATTACATTATCTACTTTACTAAAGAAAAAACCTAGGGTTAGTCTCTCATCCCTTGGTCTCTCCATAAACAAATATAAACATATAGATCATGTATGGGTGATTACTTAATTTTGTGAGATTCACTGGCTTATCTGTTCACATATTAGTGGATGGTTACACCACGTGAAATTGTTGACGTGGTGTAACCATTATATCTAATATTTTCTCCTATTCTTCCTTTTTCTTTTTCTTTTCTTCTTTCATTGAGGGCCGTCCCTAGGGTTTACAACTTCCAAACATAGTCTTTGTTGGAATAGGTGACTCATATTCAGAGCATGAATAGTTACACTAAGCCCAAGAATATAATGGGCCAATTGTCGGGATACCCTAATTAGGATTGTAACTTATATAAGTTAAGTTGTAATCTCAATTCAATGTGAAATATAAAAATAAGGTAGCCGCTCTAAGATCGTGGACGTAAGTAACTTGTTGAACCACGTAAATTCTTATGTTCTTTTTCTATTATTCTGTTTTATTAATTGTTCATTACATACACGAATCACAACAATCTCAATATAATAATCAAAATTATTTTCAATAGTTATTAGCATAAACTATACAAGTTAAGCGCAAACTGTAACTAAAAAAGGACCCATGGTTAGAATTTATAATTTTTCTTCTGAAACTAGCAATATAATGTTCAAATATCCTGGGTTGTCATCAATTGGCCAAGGGACCTATTGTGTTCATGTAACTGCAAACACCATTCTTAAAATGTTAACTAAAAGGATCAGTAATCTTTCGCTGTGCAATGTCTTCTTCAATTTCAGTATCGCACTTCCATTTTCAACATATATCATTTCTATGGGACCAAAAGGAAGGTCGAATGCGATTCGTATTGACTCATAGAAACTGATCTCATGAGTTTATTGATAGTGTATGCTCGGGATATGGATGGCTTAGGGAGGGTTGCGCTCCGACTTTTCAACTTGCCTTCATCAAATTCATTCATGTCTTGTGCTTTGATGCCCTCTTCAAGCTTGTGAATTGAGGCTTCTTTCACTTCCGTTTTTTCAGATTCCACAAGTGATGACTTATCTTTGTAAATCATATAGATGATCAGTTGGGCTGAGCCCGATACGATTCCAATTGCATTTGCCACCTGAAAAGAAGTAAGATATGATAATTTTATATACGAGATGAATAAAGATGACCCTTATGTCAAATGTCGAAGTCATTGATCAATCTTGCACATCTCAAAAGTGGAAGTGATAAGTACAGCTCAAAGCATTTGCTAGTTGTGACTTGGGATGGTCTAGTGGCACTCGAACTGTTATTTGTAGGTCATGGAATCAAGACTCTGTCTCTCTCTCCCATCTCTGTGTGTGTGTGCGCACGTTTGTGCATGTTAAGTGTTATAACAAGGTTTCTAATGTCAAGGAAAGAAACCATAAATCCATGTTCTACTAGAAAGTCTATACGAGAGAGATTGTAACGACATTTTAAGTAACATTTTTTCAATAATACATCATTCTTGTAGTCTTTATTGTATGCATATATACAGATCTTGTTATACCCTCATCTAGGCATCAAATTGGTGAGTTAGTACTACAGGCAAAGTCTATTTATTACTTTCCAAACATGTTTCTTATCTAACTTTTATTCTTGAAAGATACTCGTTTTTGCACATCTTATCAACCTTGAGTTATTTCAAATGGGAAAAAAATTATATTGATTTTACTTTTAGCTCTTTTGTTATTGTTAGTGATCAATTTTTAGGCTCTTGTCCCTTGTGTCCCTCCACATGTCGCGCCATCTCTCATTCAGTGTACTACAGCGTTTTTTATCTCTTAGGAATATGTTTTGAGAGAGAGAGATATGCGTAGATTTTCTCTCACGATTAAACACGTGGATTGTTTGACATTAGTTAGAGGGGGAGGGAGTGATAGGTTAAAGTTTAAGCATGGACAACCACTCAATGAAAGAAATTCTATTAAAGAAACAGTTTTGATGGCAATAAAGTTCGTGAGATTAATGAACAAGTGGGAAATACTTACTATGACATAGTGGTCTTTGAGGAGCAATGCTAAAGTAAACCAACACCCCGCATTGAGCAAAAGGAAAAGTGAGAGGAAAAACGGCATGTACTCTACGCTCTTTGTCTTTATTACAGTTCTCTGAAGAAAATAAAAACAAGATAAAGATGAACATATGCTGCAAGAATGATGTCTTTTTACCAATGCAAAAAAATAAAAATGCATACCATGACAGATAAAGGTGCAGCATACATAGCTACAGTGACCGCCGCACAAAAAATTCCGATGAAGGTACGCCGGGCACTTCCGTGGAATGCTAAAAGAGTTACAACAATTACAGACCCAGGAAAAGCTATGTTCAATATGGCCACGAAAACCAGTGCTTTAACCTGAATTTATAGCATTAAAATGGTATTAGCATTGTTATGTATAAACATAGATTTGGACAATCATCGACCAAATAACTACCAAGCATACTGTCAAGCTAGAGTGTAAAAACCAAGCATACACATTACAAAAAGTAATGTTAATTGAAATTAATCTATTAACTTAATCCGCTAACTTAATTAATCACAATAATTAGAATGACGGTGAAGCACAATATTAATTGAGATCTGTTAGGAATCTAATGGTTGTGTTGGATTGAATTAGTAAATTAAATTCAATTAATATTAATAAATATTATACTATGTAAACAATTTTTATTTTTTTCTGTGGTAAAAAGTTTAAACAAAAATCATGTTTGATTGTCCATTCTACTTAATAAATTATGAAAATTAAAACAGAAAATATGGTTGGTAACTACTTCAATTTATGTCATATTTTATATCTTTATATTAATTCCCTGTTAAACAATAAATCAAAATTTATTGTCCCAATACATCCATTAACTCATCAAATAAGGTACAAATCAAAATATTAGAACCATATACGTCATTAAACATACTAATACATCTCATTAGTCAACATACTATCAAATACATACCCAATACAAATTCAAATTACGGCCATAACAAGTGAGAATCAAAATAGTGACGAGGAGTGGTTGGTAATGATAATGGCANCTAAACAAATTATTTTTACCAAGAAAAATGTTTTCTCTCATTTATTTCTTGACATTTTTTGCCAAAGAACTAAAATAAGAGTGTGGAGATTGCACATTTTAATTTTATTTGTCAAGTTTTAAAATTAATAGGTATACTTTAAATTTGGAAATTTTTTATCCACACCCACTATAGTAAGGTTTAAATTCAATGATGTCCTGTCACAATTTTAAAACTTCGCTGCACCCATTTTCTAATTTATACTATTGAATCATGGACGTCCCCTAATAGTAACTTCTGACGATAGATAAAGTGCATTATTTGACTATCTATTTTTTAAAAATGTCAAAATTATCCTGTGTCATGTTAATAGACTAAAATGCCATGGGTTGGCACTTTATAAAGTTTAATTTTTTATTTTTTTGATAAGTAGGATAATATATTTATATCTAACGAAATTATTTTTTACACAAAATAAAATCATTCAACATAATAAGGTCAAAAATGCATACAAACAAAACGAAATAAAAAAAATTAATTTTAATATTTTACAAAAAAATAAGGTTAATTATAGTTATTTTCAATTGATCTCAATAAATTTTTATCATTTTAAAGCGTTATATGATAATTTTGTTAAAAACACCACCGAGAATATATATATTATCACGTATTTGATTACATAATCGAGTTTTTATAATTGTTATTGTTAAAAATACTTGCTCTACAATAAAAATTATAATCGATAAAGTCAATGTCAAAGTCCATCCATTTTCAACTTCTCTACTATTGTCTGTCCTCAACAATATTACCCAACCATTCTTTACACATCACGCTTCAGATATTGAAATTTAGTATTAATTAAATAAATTTGGTCTTAATTTGATAAATTTAAATATTAATTTAGTGTTAATTTGATAAAATTAAATATTAATTTCGTGTTAATTAAAAAAATTTAATGTTAATTGAATAAATTTGAATGTTGTTTTGATGAATTTGATATTAAATTAGAGAAAAGACATTAATTTGATGAGGTGAAATGTAAAATTAATAGAGTTTAATATTCTATTTAATATAATTAAATTTTTAATTTTATAAAATCGAATGTTAATTTGGTGTTGATTTGATGAAATTAAGTAATAATTTAGTGTTAAATTAAAACAATTAATATTAATTTGATTAAATTAAATATCAATTTTGTATTGATTTGATGAGATCGAATGTTAATTTAATTTAAATTAAAAAAGGACATTAATTTAAAAAATTAAATATTAAATTGATGAACATGAAGGTTAATGTGTGGATAAAATTTACTCTATAAAATACTAAAAGATATTTCTATAAAACAATGCTCGTCGTTAACGCCATAAGTAGACAATACTAACCGCGCGGGGGGGAGGGTTGTCAATAAAATCTTAAAAGTGAGAGTAAATATCATTGAATTTAGACTTAAATAAAAGGGGATTGAATGGAATTTTTTTCTTTTAATTTTCAAGTTAGTGCTTTGGATTGTATTGAATCTGAAGTCGGGCCTAGCCAGGGGGGTATGGGATCGAGGTGGGTTCCACTCAAATTATGTGTAGCTGGAAAATTGGGCCAATGAGGATAGCAGACTATAGGCTTTTCCATCGTTGTTAATAGGAGAAATTGGAAGGAATACTTCAAATTAGATTTAATTGTTAAAAAAATATACAGAAAAAATATTAGATAATTAAGTTCTTAATTTTGATATTATTGTATCAAAGTACATTATTTGAATTATACTAATTTTTTTGTCATATTTTTGTCCTCAATTGATTCATGTGTATTTTTTTTGGAAAGTGATACATTAAACATCTCCTAGTTTTATAGAAGAACTTTAATATTTTATATTTGTATGTCCTCTTTTGATTTATGTGTATTTTTTTTTTGGAAAGTGATTTTATTTTCAAATTATATTTAATGTACCTTGATTCATGCGTATTTTTTTTTGAAAAGTGATTTTGTTTTCAAATTATATTAATATCCGAACAATATAACAATAACAGTGTATCAATGTAATAAACCATTTACACAAAATATTGTACTATTATATTTTGTCAAACATATATTTTTATATAATTTCATTCAAAACAGTCCANCATTTTTTCAAACATATATTTTTATATAATTTCATTCAAAACAGTCCATCTCCGTTTTGAATTTGTTACCACATGTACAAAACTACTGAACACTATTTTTGTTACAGTGTATTGTTATACTATCTTTGTTACAGTGTATTTGTTACACTATTATGAATTTTGGATATTAATAAATTTTAAAATTCAAACAAGTGATATTCTAAAATAAACGAAATATTAAAATTTTCCTATAAAACTAGTAGTAGTAAATATTTAATGCATAAATATAATTTGAAAATAAAATTACTTTAAAAAAAAATACGCATGAATCAAGGTGCATTAGAGATAAGAGATTTTAAATTAAATGACTCTAAATTTTAGCACTTAATAAATACCTTGTTAAAGCTTTTAGAAAAGAATTTTTACAAAATTGGTATTTACGTTTTTATATCTTAGTTGTATACTTTTTTTCAAAATATTTTGTTCTATATACTTCCAAAGTACCCTTGTTCATAATGTTGCTTGAGTGGATGAAAAATTAATTATTTGTGTTGAAAGGTATCTTATTTGTCTATATATCTTTTGGTATATACATATATTATGTATATACTAATTTCATATATAAATAAAATGATAATATATATATATATATATATATACTAGTCATAATCCGTGTCTGAAGGCACGATAAAATATAAAATTCGAGCATCCAAAATCGAACCCACTATATTAAATTTTTTTAAAATATATTAACTAAAAATTAATTAATTATTAAATTATTAGATATATAATAGAAATGAGTGGTGTAATATTTTTAGGGAGGAAATATATAAATGATTAAATATGTGATAAAAATGAGTGATGTGATTTGATGTTTGAGTCTGACAAAGAGATGATGGGTGAGATAAGTGATTGATGATAGTTTTGAGAGAAAAAATATGACTGAGAAAAAATTTAAACACACTTCTATTTTATTATATATATATATAGACGAAAATTTTCGATTCAACACGATGACGCGACTAGAACTCGACACGAATTTTATGATACGAACTTGATTTTAATTCAACCTGAACTTGAAAATAACCTGACACAAGAATACAAAATATAAACAACTCATATTCAGTTCAACCCGTCAAACCCAAAATTGACATCATCAACCCGTTTATTTAAGAATAAACATTTTCTCTATTTNGCTTTTAGAAAAGAATTTTTACAAAATTGGTATTTACGTTTTTCTATCTTAGTTGTATACTTTTTTTCAAAATATTTTGTTCTATATACTTCCAAAGGACCCTTGTTAATAATGTTGCTTGATTGATGTCATTTATGCTTTGTTTTGTATGATGAAAAAATAGAATGATGAAAAGTTGGAAGGATAGAAAGTTAGAGGGATAAACAACATATTTGGTAAGGAAGTAAAATAGGAAGGATGAAAAAAATGGATAAATGTCATTTCCTTTTAATTCACCAAAATCAGTCACTTCAAAATCGGAAGGAAAGTGGATGAAAAATTAATTATTTGTGTTGAAAGATATCTTATTTGTCTATATATCTTTTGGTATATACATATATTATGTATATACTAATTTCATATATAAATACAATGATAATATATATATATATATATATACTAGTCATAATCCGTGTCTGAAGGCACGATAAAATATAAAATTCGAGCATCCAAAATCGAACCTACTATATTAAATTTTTTTAAAATATATTAACTAAAAATTAATTAATTATTAAATTATTAGATATATAATAGAAATGAGTGGTGTAATATTTTTAGGTAGGAAATATATAAATGATTAAATATGTGATAAAAATGAGTGATGTGATTTGACGTTTGAGTCTGACAAATAGATGATGAGTGAGATAAGTGATTGGTGATAGTTTTGAGAGAAAAAATATGACTGAGATAAAATTTAAACACATTTCTATTTTATTATATATATATAGACGAAAATTTTCGATTCAACACGATGACGAGACTAAAACTCGACACGAATTTTATGATACGAATTTGATTTTAACTCAACATGAACTTGAAAATAACCTGACACAAGAACACAAAATATAAACAACTCATATTCAGTTCAACCCGTTAAACCCAAAATTGACATCATCAACCCGTTTATTTAAGAATAAACATTTTCTCTATTTTCTTGTTTGTATGATAACACGAAATTAACATGTTTAAGTAATATTATAGACATAAAATATTAATTATTTATAACTATTTATTAAGCACTGACATAATTATTATATAAAAAATATATTTTTACTTATTATTATTATTATATTTATTTAAGTTAATTTTTAGTTTGTAAAAAAAGTATGGGCATGAATTGAATTAAGTAAAAATAAAATATTAACATTAATTTTTTTATTCAAAATTTATATAGATCAATACGAACACGAATACGATACGAATAAATTGTGTGTATCTTTTAATTGTTGACTGTGTTTTTCTCATAGTATAACAAAAATAGTGTAACAATACATTATAACAAAGATAATTGTTACAATAACNAGATGATGAGTGAGATAAGTGATTGGTGATAGTTTTGAGAGAAAAAATATGACTGAGATAAAATTTAAACACATTTCTATTTTATTATATATATATAGACGAAAATTTTCGATTCAACACGATGACGAGACTAAAACTCGACACGAATTTTATGATACGAATTTGATTTTAACTCAACATGAACTTGAAAATAACCTGACACAAGAACACAAAATATAAACAACTCATATTCAGTTCAACCCGTTAAACCCAAAATTGACATCATCAACCCGTTTATTTAAGAATAAACATTTTCTCTATTTTCTTGTTTGTATGATAACACGAAATTAACATGTT